TTCAACCTGTATATGCAAGGGTCACAGGCACATTTCTGCACTTCCCTTGGGTTAAGTGGATTGCCCAGTCAGGGGACTTGTTGAGGAGGACTCCGCCCCTCTGCACCAAGCAGTCGGTCCACGCGGAATGACAATGGTGGCTGAAACACCCCAAATTAACATGACAAGTATGCCAAGAACAGGTATCCATGCCTATAGACAAGACCCTAGCCCTTCCAGGAGGTAGTCTCCTCACCCCCAAATCAGACTCCTCAAAGAATAGTGTCAGTTACTGGACTTGGTCTTTTGAGTTACAGTGTGGACATTTAGAAGGGTGATTCTCTAGACAGATCTTGGCTAGGGGAGCCCCTTCTGCTGAGCCCCGATGCACATGGCCCATCCTTGACATGATGACTATGTCAAAAACATACCTATGGGGCCAGGTTCAGGCTGGCCAGGGACAAAGGACTGACACTCACTGGCCACGTGACTTTTCAGTTTCACAGCCCATTCACAGCAAAGGCTTTCTGGTAGCAGGGGTGTGTGACAGTCAAATCTTTAGTGTGACGCCTGTGTGCGTCACTGTGCTTTTCTGCAAAACGCATTGCCTCTGTTCTTCTGCTCCGTCTCACTCGGGCCCATCACCAGCTGCTGAAGTAACTGATCTCTGCCTTGGAATGTGGACATAGTCCCGCCTGGTCCACCTCCTCCTCTGCACAATGTAGCGTCCCTGTGTCACAGTTCTGCCCAAAGGGAGCCCTTTCTCTCAGCTATGTTCTGTGCTAACATTTGGATGTGGCTATAATGTTGTGGCCATTCATTTTCAGCTTCCTCACACATATTAACCTTATTCACTCACAAGCCAAGTGGAAGAGTTTCTCCTCTTCCTTCACCTGCTCATGTGAGACCCACCTGTCTTGGTTACTTTTCTCTCATTGCTGAGACAAAATACCCAATACCCAAAATTAAGGAAGGAAAGGTTTATTTAGCTCGCAGTTTGTGGAGGTTTCAGTCCATACTTGGCTGGCTACAAGGTAGAGTGGCACATGGCAGAGGGCAACAGTTCAGGGTGGTGGAAAATAGCAAAAGCAGCAAGAGCAAAAGGGAGGAGCAGTGGCAAGCAGCCTCTTTCCCTCCCTTACATTATATGCAAATTACCTGCCATAGGATGGGTGTATCACTCGCATCCATAATCCAAACATTGGACCATGAATCAATCATACACTCTAGAAGCCCGCCCCATGACTGCATGAGGCTTTTGACACAAATCATAATACATACCATCACGTGACTGTAAGAACAAGGTTGGCAGGGACTGGCTGTGTTATTGTAGGAGGTATGTGAACACCCACTAAGGCAAGTGGTTCTTGTCCCTCATGTCCTCTGTCCCTGCCTGCAACTGATTCCAGATGTGCAATTTTCACCCAGTAATCTACTCCTGTTAGGTCTGACTTCTTGACTCTGATGAGCCAAGAGAACCAAGCTCCTATGGGTGGTCCCAGTTACACTATCATTTGGTGTCTCAAGATTAAAGGTTCAGTCCACCAGGGACCACTGATGTAGGAAAAGCTATTTCTGAAATGACATGTAAAATTCTCTGCTTCACTTGCCACGATATTGCTTCAAGTTCCAAATTCTTTATTGGGGTTTGCCATGAAATCCAGGTTGAATCTTTGCCCACCATGAAAGATATTGTGGGGTCTGTTGGATCCTATGATGCAAGCGAGAGAGAAGCAATACCCCTGGTATAACTGTGTCACTTCACAGGGTCTCTGATGAGGTATTAAATCCATGTCCAGGGAAATAGCCACTCACCATATGTATTTTGTTTACTTAGTCTTTTATTTTGGGCCCCTTGAACATGTGTTGGAGCTGACAGACAGCATATTGAAAACTAATATTGTATAGTCAAGATTTCTTGCCTATATCTTCTACTCTGAATAACTGCTAGCAAGACAGCAATGCACAGCGTGTCAGCTTTTGTAGCTGTCTAAATAGCCTGTTTGAAACTTAGTTTCATTGTTATGTTTATCCTTTTTTAAAAGGAAGGAACATCTGGGGTGGGGGAAAGGAGAAAAGTAGCAGGGAAATATATATTCACATACAAGGTAGCTGGGGTACTTGTACTACTGATTTCTGTTTGTTTGTTGAAAGGAGCAGTTAATGCTTAAATGTTTGTTCAATCTTGCATGCCTATGTCTGGTGATCTGAGCAACTACTTTGAAGATAACAATATGTAATATAACAACTACTGTTAATTTCCTATCACCTTGTCTTGAAATTCTGAATCATTTTTATTGCTTCTTGTTGTTTTGTTTTTGCCTTTGGGTTTTTTTTTTCCTTCTTTTTAAAATAAAATTTTAAAACAATTAAAAAGCAAAGTTAAAATTTTAATAAACAATTATAAAGAAAAAGAAAAAAAAAGAAAGAAAACTGGTGGAGAGGTGTAGTGATTACTCCCAAGTTCTGCTGAAATCATTCGGTTGCCGTATATCTCTATATCTGCTTTCTACCTTGGGACCATCTAAGCTACGTCCGGACTTTCTGAAATGTAGGTGATTCTGAAATGTCTGGACCCAGTTTTGGGCTGGGGAACCCCAGAATGCCTCCTTTTTCTCTCTCATTCTGGCACTTTCCTTTCACCCCCCTCTCAGACAGAGGAATCTGACAACAGGAGGCAGGCAATATAGGAAACAACAGCAGAAATTAAGGTCTTCAATCATAGGCGTTCAGGTGAGGGTGGCCGGTATGGATTAACTAGATCTCTGTGACCAGAGAATAGAGGCAGGAGGATCCAGACAGAGGGAAGAAAAACAGCCAAGCTGCAGAAGCATGCTAAGATGGCTGGGTTAAGGAAGGGCAAGGGCCTAATGTGATGACAGCCTTATAGCTGTCCAGCTATGTGTGTAGTTTTTGTGCTTGTTTTGTATTGTGTTTTAAATCTTACAGCCATTTTGAGGATACAAACTGAGGATCATATAACAACTAAATATTGTATATCATATAAGGACGTACCATTTGGTAAAAAAAAGATACTTGTTCCCCAAATTATATAATAATATAATGTAACATAATATATTCAGTTAATACTTTTGCATATGGCATTCACTCTTTTTTCTTTTTGCAGTAGCCCCTCATTGTAAACCCAAATCAAATTTATCAATAACTATCACCTGAGCACATTTTCCCTCATGTTAATGACTTCTACAATTTTCTACTGTACACTCCTTCTTTTTTCCTTCACATTTGATCTTCCCCTAGTGAATTGTTTTCCATTTGTCTTGATTAAACCTCACTCTATTGATTTCTGTTCTTTCTCTAACTTCTCAGAAACCTGCGGTATATTAATTCTGTTTTCTGTGAAATTAGCTATCCCTCCTGGCACTGAATAACATTTAGGAAAGTTTTAAAATCTAACATCATCGAGTCACCTCCTTTTAAAACTTTGGATGCCTCATTTACTTCCAAGAGGATGAGAAAATATATGCACATTTTACCTTAGGATGGGAAATCCTACATGTTCCAGTAATTCATGCTTCTTTTATTGGAGACTGTTATAACAGTTAAGGAACATCCACTAAAAAGTTAGGTTTGAATATATTCTTCCTTTGCAGTGGGACAAAATAAAAGGAAAAGTTCATGCCCTAAAATCGAGGTATATTTACCTAGGAATTATGATAAAAAGTGTATTATTACTTTTAATGTTACTTTTCTGTGTACAAATGACATACACTCATTTCTTTATTTATTCCTCCTTATGGTCCTAAAAATTAGCATGTAAGTAATTCTGTTGATGTGATTCAGCGAGACAGGATTTGAGCCTTGGTGTTTCTGACTCTCTGCTGTTAGAATGTGTTCCACTTTTAATTCAGTCAATCAATTCCATAATTGTTTGGGTGAGGCATTTCCCAGTCACACTTTTGGTGCTGAAGGTACAGTGATGAACAGATGTTCCCTGTCCTCATACCTCTTAATAATTGTGAAGAAGACAAGCCATTATATTAGGCTCCTTTGTATACTTTACTGCATAGAAAAAAATATCTCACAGACACAAATTTCCTCAACTGAGATTTTCTCAAATTTTTTGTCTGTCTAGCCTCAGCTTTCTCTACTTCACCTCAGGAAAAGAATTGGAAAAAAGAATCCTCTCTCAAATCTACCATCATCTGCTGAAACTATGGCAGGAGACCCATGCACTGCTAACACTTCTGAAAATTTCAGGCGGCAATCATCCCAAGCCTGGCTCATTCTCTCCATCTTTGTCTGCCTCTTCCCCTCTGATTATTCCCTCTTATTGCCAACAGAGAAATTCCAGTGTCCCAAAATTATTTTAAAAATTGCGTGGTCTTGTACCTTTCTCAAGCTACTACCTCATTCTTTCTCCTCAGCAATAGATTTAACAGATTTTAGGTACTTTTTATCTTTTTCAGTCATCTCATTCACTTTTCCAAGCAATACAATATAAGACCACCTCTTTATCATTCACCTTGAAGATGAACATCAATATAAAACATTCCAGTCACCTCATTCCCCAAGAGGGATAATTTAACGGAAGGCATAAACTATACAAATTAGAGTTAACTGGTACAAAGGGAAAGAAGCCAGAGAGATTATCCTACAGTGCTTGCTGTCCTGTCTTGTCCATTTTCCCCTACTACCATAAACAGGATGTATAAGGTATGACCTGAAATTACTATGCATGTTAAATTTTTTAAAAATTCATTACTGTGAGAGACACATTGCCTTCCACACCCTCAAAATCCCTCCTGTCACTTCAAACACACATCCCATCATTCCTGTCACTTTCTGAAGCACTTCTGGAAATCTTCCTTAGTCCTTAGTTGCACTGTCATAGCTGCCTGGATATCCTGAGAAGAAAGAGGGAAGTAGTAGCTTGAGAAAGGTACAAGACCAAACAATTTTTAAAATAATTTTAGGACACTGTAATTTCTCTGTTGGTGATTTCTGTCCAATAAAAAACATTAAAGTGTGTTTTCATCTACCTTATTCACAGGATCGGGTACCAGGAGTGACTTCTGGCTCTTCCTGCAAATCAAAATGGCTATAAAAAGTAAACATTTTGAATCTATCCAGGACATCAAAGCACCCATAAAGATTTTCATAAAAGAGGACTTCAAGACTTGTTTCAAAAAGTGGTAAGAACAATGAGATAAATGTTTTCAAAGTGAGGAGGATGTTTGAAGGATTATTAACAACAATGTGTATTTTACAGTAATAAATTATTAAAATTTAGGTATTCATTCTATTTTTATCTTATCACATATTACTAAAATTACTACTGTAGATATAATTTAAAAGTAAGCTTCAAGGGGCTGGGGATTTAGCTAAGTGGCACAGTGCCTGCCTGGCAATCACAAGGTCGTGAGTTTGATTCCCAGTACCGGAAGAAACCAACCCCCCCCCGCCCAAAAAGCAAGCCTCAGGTAAAATGTGATTTTTGAAACAAGAAGGCCATCTAAAAATATCTCTCAGGTTAGCTATCAGATTCATTAAAATCTTTTAAAGGACACAAACTTTACACTTCAATACTAAACTTCCAAAGTTCAAATGATTCAGAAATTAACACATGTATGCAAATTAGCTTCCTTATTACAATAAATTATAACAAATTCCATTTGTTTTGATGTGAGTAGCGGTTTAAAACTCGAGAAGGCAATAAGTCTCTGATGAAATGATGCCTTAAATCTATTCCTTTGTCCTGAATCAAATGAAATTTATGCACAAAAAAAAGATTATATTGCATATTTCCAAGAATGTTCCATGAAGCTTCAAATATACTCTCACTTCCTCTACTACCAACATGCCTCTCGTAGTGTTTCAATTTATTGGACTCCTGCTCTGTGTTTACCGAAGTGGTACTGGACGCAGCTGGGTAGTCAGCTCAACCAAGTCCATCGTTCTCAAACTCATATAAATATAGGAACAGTTATTTTTGTTACTATTTTTCAATGAAGTTTCTAAATTCCACCTGAAAACCATTAGTTTTAAAGCTCCACGATTGGAGCCTGGAAATTGGAACTTTTAAAAGTTTCTCGAGTGACTGTGATATTCATTCAGGTTTGAAAACACTTAGGTTGACAAACATTACCTATTTTGAAATATTTCATTTAATATTTGAGTTTAGTAAGAATGTATTCAGTGTTTTCAAGAAACTGAGACAAGAAATTCTATTTGACCCAGCTATTCCCCTTCTAGGTATCTTCCCCAAAGAGTTAAAGACATTATATTAAATAGTAAATGCATACCCGTGTTTATAACAGCACAATTCGTAATAACTAAAACTTGGATGCAGCCTATATGTGCATCCACAGGTAAAAAATAAAGAAAATGTGGCATTTATATGCAATGGAATACTAGGCTGTCATAAAGAAAGATAAATCTGAGGAATTTGCAGGAAAGTGGATGCACTTTGAAACCATAATGTTAAGTGAAATAAATCAGACTCACAACCTTAAATATCATGTGGCTTTTCTTATATGAGAAATCCAAAGTATAAATAAAAAGAAAAATAAAGGAAAAATAGTAGGAAGTAAGGAGGTAGCTATTTCTCAAAGAGGAAAGGAGTCAAGAGTTAAAGGAAAGAGAAGAGGAAGAGAAAGGGGATTAAAAGAGAGAATTAGGATGTATTGTTTATGCGTATCAATTCTCCTCAAGGAATGTACAAAGTGTGCACTACAAACATGAGCTAATTGAAGAAATGAGGGAAAAAGATACACCGAGTATTTATCATATGCTTAGCAGAGCATGAGAAAAGTGAGAAAAATGACAGAACCCCTCGATAAATTAAAATGTTGATGAGAAGAGAGATTGGAAAGGAACAAAGTCCTACAGATGGCTCCCCGTCCTTAACGCCTCCATTCCCCCAAATACTGACATGAGAAAATGGCAGCAGAGATAGAAGCCTCCATCACTGCTCTGGACCCAGAAAACAGAAGGGAACGTGCACCTGATGGAAGGAAAGGACACTGAAGGACCACCTGAGAAGATCCTCAACTCTCAACTCCGAAAGACAATAGCTGTGCCTTAAGTGGTCCAATGAGGAGGAACAAAAGCCAGCCAGAACGGATAAGCACCACACTCAGCAACCCTGCAGGGCTTACTGGGAGCCTCAGGAAAGGAGGACACCCAAAACTGAGGTTATCTTTAATTGAGTGAGGTCAAATTTCTGCCAAACAGAAGCATCAGGCAAAAATAAAGCAACTTTGGGGCTGGGGATTTAGCTCAGCGGCAAAGCGCCTGCCTGGCAAGCGCAAGGTCATGAGTTCGGTTCCCGGTACCGGAGAAAAACAAACAAACAAAAAAAAAGACAAAAAAATAAATAAATAAATAAAGCAACTTTGATTCACAGGAAGTGAAAGCAAGGCTCAGCTCCTGAACAACTGTCTCCATGTCTAGTATTTACGCTTTAGCATTTGCTTAACGCTGTGGCTGATTCCAAGCCCAGACTAAACTTCAGTGTCCCTTCCTAGAAAGGAGGAATAGAAAAACAAACAAATAACAAACAAACGAAAACAACGTCAAGGTCACATGTTCAGAGTGACTCCTAAGCATCGCCCAGGAGCAGGGTGTTTATCCTCATGGAGCTCACTGTCTTCTCTATAAATTGGAAATGGTGTATTGAAATTAAATGAGAAAGAAACTAAAATCCTGGACACATTTTAAGAGCTCAGTAGGCATTTGTGCTCTTATTTCTTTAGAGAGTTTTCAAATCTTAATTTAGAGGCCATATTTCCACAAGAGAAAGAGTAATTATGCCAGGGTATTACGAACCAATCCTATAATTTCTTGTAAAGCATGATTGTGTACATTCATCACTGTTAAATCTGTGGGAAAAGATAATATTCCTTTGAATATGTGAGTGACAACTCCTTCCCTCCCACCAAAAATACCAGTAAAGCAGCTGCTGATTTTACTTGCTCCTACATTTCCTAGATGTTTGAATCAGAGGTTAGCCTGAGACACTCTGGTTACAATAGCTACAGAGCTAATCTGTAAACTTAGGGTATTGTTCTGATTATAATCGCAGGGGAGCCCTTTTTTATTTCTGCTCAGAGTGGTAAAATCCTGTATAACTGAATTTGAATTGTAAAACCCTTTCAAACACACCCTCTTTAAGCATTGGTCTGTGCAGATGGAGGAAGTGAAATGAGTTTCCTAATTTACAGACGGTGTTATGATGCACATGGTAACCATAGCTTTCAGGTGAGGAAAGCGGGAACTTGACAGCGCAATTTAGCAGTTTTATAGTTAGTATCATTTTTGCATTAATGGGCCCATTGACAATCATAATATTAGGCCATAAAAGTTGGTGTTAACTTGACTTTGCCAGTTCCAAATTTTCACCTTATATTTTTTCTTATTCAAACAATCATTGTTATAGTTGAAGGGAATTTTAGAAATCACTGAATCGGAGCACAGCAAAATGGCAGGGAGAATTCCGTACATGGAAATGATCATATTTTCCCCCCAATATAGTGTTTCTCTCTCCTTTACTCCTTTTCGTGTTCTTTCTCTCTTTTCTATTATTTTTGTTCATTCCATTTTTCTCCTTTTTCTTAAATCAAGATAGGTCCCATACACAATAAAATGCCTATGTCTTGAGCAAGCTTTAAATATCTATGCAATCAAAACATGGGAAATTTCCATAGTTCCTGTATACCTTTCTTAACCAGAATTACCCGGAATAAGCACTATTCTGAGAATTCTTTCCATAGATTAATTTTGCTTACTCTGAAGTTTTGCAGAGATAATAACTGTACAGTATACAATCCTTTGTGTCTATGCATCAAGTTGCCCTGGGTATATTTTACATGACTTCGTCTGGCATCACCTGTCATTTCTGATATGTGTCTGTGTACAAGTTAAGTGGCCGTGCCACAGATTATAAAGAGTCTATAAATCTGCTTTTAACTGCCAAAGAGCCCATCGAAATGATTGAACTGGTTCGAACGGCCACCAGTAATATGAGAATTCTAATTTCTCCACATCCTCACCAGTACTTAGTGAAGTGTTTTCAATAAGTTTTCATTTAAAATGTTTAGTGTATGTGTGCAAGGGTATAAAGTGGCTCGGTATGTGTGCACCTTTCACCATCTATACTGAGCCACTTTATATCCTTGTTTTAGCACTACGGCTTTCAGAGGCTTTGAATTTGTCGAGCACTAATCTGAGCATTTATCAGACTCAGACAACTGGTCCTAGGAAGCTCAGCTGACTAATGTAAAAGCACAGAACAGGTGGCAAAATTGGACTTAGAGCTCTGGCTGAACTTCTAGACCAGCCTTTTTTCCAGTGATGCACAGCCCCTGTTCCACCCTCCTGGGGATTTGTTAAATCCTTCTTCAGATAACTTTATCAAAGGAAATGCAGCCAAGCTGTGATGAGATGAGCCTTGCTTGGTGCCGTATTTTGTTCTACACACATCACACCACTTTCCGTCACTTCCGGAAAGATGTGAACCTACACATGGAAAGCGTAAATTCAAACATGTGTTGCAGAGAAGGTCACGTGAAGGAGTGAGATGAGTGGCACATGGAGAGAGAGGAGCCCACTGCAGCGAGGGTCGGAGATTCTCCTTCTGCCTTCAGCCCGTGTAACCAGATTCAAAATCTTTCCCACTTTCTGTATGTGGGATAAACATTTGTTTAAAATCACAGAGGAGAGGCTGGAGACATAGCTCATCGGCACAGCGCCTGCCTGGCAAGCGCAACGTCCCGAGTTCAACTCCCAGTACCAAAAAAAAAAAAAGAAAAAGAAAAAGAAAATCATACAGGAGCATAAAAAAGGCTACGTGAGCAAATATGATATCATTCGAATTAGACAAAGAGTGTTAAGGATGGGGAAAACGAAGGATATCAATAAAGATTCTTGATTTTTTTCTGTTTTCTTATATGCAAAATGAGGAGTTGGCTTCATTTCTTTTAAGATCCTATCCAACTTCTCAATTTTGCAATGAGTTAAACATAAATGTGATTTATAAGATAGAGGGAAAACAGAAACCTAGAGTTTCTTTATAAATACCTGCTTTGGGTAATGGATTTGGTTATATAAAATAGAGATGCATGCTGTCTGATGAAACGGTAATTCTGTTAATTGATCATTGATAGAAATATGATCTTATTATTATTTCATAATCAACTGTCCTCCATCTCATTGTTTTCCTATCTTCCAAAGGTATTTGCTTAAATAAATTTATGTTTAGTTTTTCACAAGCAAGGTTTTTCCTGTAGAATTATACTGTATCGATATGATATATTCCTTACTAGTTTAGCTGAGAATTATGGGATCAATTATTATAGTATACAAGAGCAGAAATCTAAAAGTAATAAATCCATCTCCAGTGAATAATATAAAATTATATTTATAGAGTCTGAAATGAAATTAACATTAGTCATCTTTTCACCAAATGATCTGAAGCATATTTCTTCTCCCAAAATGATCTTAAGCAATAGAATAAAAATTCAAAAGGAGCTTTTGGGATTTCTCATACTGAGAAAAAAGTTCTTTATTAAAAAAAGAAGACTAAGTTAAAATTACCAGTGAGTATTTTGATTTGTTTTGACAGAGAAGGCATTAAAGAGACGAGACGTTCAGTACCTTACTAAGGGATCACCTTTTCCCCTTGCCATTTGAGGATTCATGCTTTCTTTAATTAGAAATTGATCAGAAGCCTAATAAAGTTTGAGTGCTAGCACTAAAATCCCTTTCCTAAAAGCTGAATTTAATCTACTTGTGAATTTTCTCCTCTTGTTCTCACTCCATGCCCCCAGCCCGTGTCAGAACAGAGGATAGGAAAGTTCAAATAACTTTTATTTATATGGTTTCCCACTAAATTTTTAACTTCCAGGGGCAGTCATGATCAGTCACTCAGAGAAACTGAAGAAGTGTAAATAACGGTCCTTCTACAAAGCAAGATGAATAAATTTAAAGACATGTTTGAGAAGGTTTCTAGAGACGTTAGAGGTGGAAGACTTGAGACTCAGTACACAGAAATAATTTTGGACAGCAGGTCCTGTGGGTTGTGATCCACACAGAACAAATCCTTGACCGACCCTTAGGAACAAGTACATGGTTGAAGAGCTAAAAATGTAGATAGTGTGAGTTAATAAAACAGTAAGAGGACAGGTAGCGTAGGCAAGGATTGCTGATTGGAGTTCACAGATTGATAGCTATAGATGATAGTGCAAGTGATTGTACTGGGCCACATGTCCCTGGGAGCCAGGTTAGGGTTTATTGTACACATATTTTGATGGAGACTATATATGTGTGTGTATATAAATGGAAAAATATATGAAATATGGAATATATATGTATATATGTGAAACTTCATTGGTAAACAATGATCAGGTTTAGGGTTTATTGAGCACCTATTTTGATGGAGACTATATATGTGTGTGTATATAAATGGAAAAATATATGAAATATGGAATATATGTATATATGTATGTAGATGTGAAACTTCATTGGTAAACAATGAACATGAGATCTTCCTGTTGTCTTTCAGAGCAAACAAGAACTGCTGCTTTGTAAAAAGCCAGACCAAATAAAATAATCTCACCTAGGAGTGAAAGGCAGAGGGCTGTTGAAGCATAAGCACAGAATAGAGAAAGAGGCTGGCCAGAAGGAAGGCTGGAGCTCAGGATGGGCATGCTCCACAGCAGGTCTCGGACCCAGGCTGCATCCTGAATTAAGACTTCACAGAAGAACATACAGGTGAACGTGAGGTCATGACTAGGTGTCAAAGCAGCAAAGAGAGAAGGTCAGAGTGTGTCACAGTGGCATCAGAGTGGAATGGCGGTTAGGACACGCTTAGCTGGGATATAAGGAATCACCATCAAAGAAGCACAGCAAAGTCTCAGAGAATAAAATTCCAAAACAGAAAAGATGAAGTGACATCAAAAATTTGTCTCTCCCAAGAACTGTATTGCTTTTATAATTTACTATGAGATATTTCCTTTGGCATGTCTGTCCCAGTTCGTTTCCTTACTGAACTCATTCTACGTTCAGGAGAACAGTGTTCCTCTCCTCTGATAAGACCCTTTTTCAGTCTGTGCCAGTGGTATGCATGCTATCGGTTTTTCTTTTAAGACAAAAGATGTTAATGTATGAATTATTTTTTCTAAACCAAAACCTCAGTATTCAGGTTTCATTGCAATGCTAGTATTTTGCAATAAATATGAATTTGGGGTTGCAGTTTGGACTCTTGTCTATAATAGATTCGCCATCACTGGCCTGGGGTACCCAAGAAGCCAGTGGAGAAAAAACAATTTGAGCCTCCTGACCTTTCACTGTTAGCTTCTATGTGATAAGCTTTCCAATAGCTGACATTTAATGTGAAATTATGACATAAGCCAGAAAAACACAGAGGCAGAGTAGCTTGGTAGAGCAAAACAGGAGGCTCCTGGGAAAATGAAAATACATAGCTGACTGTTGTTTCCTTGAGTGTCTAGTAGCAAAACTGTATCTAGACTGAGGATAGAATCTCAGTAAAATGATAAAGAGTACATGGTTGAAGAGGTAAAAAATGTAGATAGTGTGAGTTAATGATAAAGAATAAATAGATTCCTTAAATGTCTTGAGAAAGAAAAGCAGACACCATCTATAAGCCAAATGTTGGGGGGCAAAGGAAGATTGCCATAACTTTTAGAATGGCATGCTTGTAAGCACTTGGTTTTCTCAAATTCCTCTCACCTGTCTTACTGCAGTGCTATTACAAAATATTCTTCCCAAACCACAGCAAAGTGACTAGGGAAGAAAAGAACAAGTGAATTTTAAAGCAGGTTTTTTAAAGCTAACAGCAAAAGGAACTAAATGTGAACAGTGTACTCCAGTTAGAACAGTTGTTTCTTATAGGAACATACATGAGCAATTTTAAATGTATTTTAAATGTATTCCAATGTGGACAAGATAAGCAGCTTGTATAATGAAAGCCAGTTTCTTCCAGTGTTGAAGAAAGACATTAATAACAGAGGAGAGCTAGCAAGAGTCCTGTGCTACTAGGTTGGAATTGGAGGCATGAGTGAATGCAGAGTCTTTTAATAGACAGGTAAGAGGTAGGCAGGCAGGGACGGGGATAGGCAAGTGGATACATACATACATAGGTACATAGATGACTTCTGTGTGTATGAGTTAGTAGGTACTCATACATATATTTCCTAATTCTCTTTCTAGGAGGCCTTAGAAGCAATGAGCTCCAGTGGAAATGAACACATTCTAGAATCCACATCTTATTGCCTAAATAATTTCTCCAATAAAAGAAAACATTCAGAGAAGTGGTTGATTTCACAGCTGAAACAGAAGAAGTACAAGGTGGCCCTGGAGCATCCTGAGTGGACATGAAACAATAATTGCTCTGACAAGAACAGGAAGCGTGTTGAAATGGCGTGTGAATCACCTAAAGAGCTCCCAATGCCCCACTGTGGAACAAGTAGAGCAAGTATAAATAAATGGATAAACAAGTAAATAAAATTTTAACCCATCAATATGATAAATATTGGTAGTTCTAGGAGAAGTAGTTCCTCTGTATAACAAAATTCCAATTACTAAATAAAGAATGAAGGAACTTAAAACTACCATTAGAACACCACAGTAATTACTATGTGGACAAGACTCACAGGTGGATACTAAAATTAGTAGTATTGTAAATGTGCTGCATAAGCCATCTGTATTTTAGTATGAGGCTCAAAAACAAAACACTTAAACAATAAGTGCATTAATATGATAAGAGAGCAGCAATATAAAAAACTGAGGCAGAAGGATTGCAAATTTGAGTCCCATCCAGGCAACTTAGCAAGACTCTGCCTCAAAATAGACAAAAATAGACAAACTGGCGTTCAGTGATAGAATGCCCTGGTTTTCCTCCAAAGTAACAAGCCTGTTTAATAAATGGTGCTAGAAAAACTGGCTTTCCACATGCCGAAGACTAAAACTAGATCTATGTGTATCACCATGCACTAAACTAAAGTCAAAATGGATCAAAGATCTAAATATTAAAACAGAAACAGTAAATCTACTGGAACAGAAAGTAGGTAGAAATCTTGAAGACATAGGGATAGGCAGAGAATTCATGAACAAAAACCAAATTGCATGAGAAATACTTCAAAGAATCAACTAGGATCTCCTTTTATTGAAAGGTTTTTGCACATCAAAAGAAATCACCAACAGGCTAAAAAGAAAACCCATGAATTGGGAAAATTGTTAGACAACTGTCCATCAGACAAAGGAGAAAAAGTTCCAACTGTCCATCAGACAAAGTTCTATCTAGAACATATGAAGAATTAAAAAAAGTCAGACCCCACAATTCAAAGACCCAATAAAAAGTTGCATCTGAAATAAATATACATTTCTCAGATAAAGAAATACAAATGGCAAATAAATATATGAAAAAATTTTCAACATCATTAGTCACTCAAGAAACTCAAATTAAAACAACAGTGAGATTTCATCTCACCCCAGCAAGGATGGCTGTCATCAAGAAATCAACAAATAACAACTGCTAGAAGGGGCTGTGGGGGGGAAAGGAACACTTCTCCACTGCTGGTGAAGTGTAGACTGGTACAACCACTGTGGAAACCAGTGTGGAGTTTCCTCACAAAACTGAGATTAGAGGTCCCATTTAACCCAGCTATTCCCCTTCTGGTGATTTTTCCAGAAAAACTGAAAACATCATACCATAGCAATATATGTGCACCCATGTTTATAGCAGCACAATTTGTCATAGCTAAATCTTGGAAACAACCCAAATGCCCATCAGCTGAGGAATGGAGAGAAAAGATGTAGTACTTTTATACAATAGAATATTACTCAGCTATAAAAAAAGATAAACTAGAAGCTTTTATAGATATATGGATGCAACTAGAGACCATACTCATAAGTGAAATAAATCAGTTCCACCTGTGTAAACACTGTATTGTCTCCCTAGTGTAAGAACCTGAAAGAGTAAATAAAACCTAAAATGTACAATAGATATTGTGAAAGGGAAATAAATTGCTCAAAGGAAAGGAACAACTGGGATGAGGGAAAGGAGAAAAGAAAGAAAAAAGAAGGAAGGAAAAATATATACAGATATATATACAAGAATAGCTGGGATAATTGTACTGCTGATGTCTATTGGTTTATTGAAAGGAACAGTTCATGCTTAAATTTTTTTGACCAATTTTGCATGCTTACATCTGGTAATCTGAACAACTAATTAGAAGACAACAATATGCAATATACCAACCATTGTTGAATTTCTACCATCATGTTTAATGAAGCTCTGTATCATTTCTAATGTTTTTATTACTTTTTATTCCCTTTAATTGTTTGATAAATCTTGCATTCTTACATCTGGTAATCTGAGTAACTTCTTTTAAGACAACAATATGTAATATAACAACATTATCAATTACTATCATCTGTTTTGAAATACTGTATCATTTTTATTGTTTTTGTGTTCTTTTGTTTTTGTCTTTGTTGTTGCCATTTTGTTGTTTTTTCTCTTTAAATAAAAATAAATTTTAGAAAAGAAATAAAATGAGATTAGATATCACAAATTCAAAATGTGGTAAGAAGTAGAGAGCTTTATTTCTTCAAATATAGAAATTTTTTCTCTTTTGTTTTTTTTTACTATCTTTATCAATGTAATGGTTAGTCTTGGTCATCAGCTTGTCAGCTTGAGAGACGCCAAGAAATAAACTCAAACATCTGTAACTTATCTTTGAAAAGAGTGGAAAGAACATGCATTGAAGAAAGAAGAATCTTTTCAATAAGCGATTCTGAGAAAATTGTATATTCACATGCAGAACAGTGAAACTAGATACCTGTCTCTTCCCAGTCACAAAAATCCATACAGAAAATATTAAAGGCTTAAATGTAACACACACACACACACACACACACACACACACACACACACACGCATGCATGCATGCACACAAAAGCTATAAAACTTCTAGAAGAAAACATATGAGAAATGTTTCAGAACATTGGAAAGGCAAGGATTTCTTGGACAAGACCCTCAGAGTACAATATACAAAAGTCAAACTGACCAGTGGGATTACATCAGACTAAAACACCTCTCTGCAGCAAATGAGTGAAGAAACAATCTACAGAATGGGAGAAAATATTTTTAAAGTACGTAACAGACAAGAGGTTTATATCACAATGTATAAAGAACTCAATAGCAAAAAAACAATAAACATAATTTTAAAATGGGCAAAGGACCTGAACAGATATTTCTCATAAGAAATCAGGCAAATAGCCAATGTGTACATTAAAAATTCTCACCATCACTAATCATTAAAGAAATGTTAATCAAAACTACAATGAGATATCACCTGACTCCAGTTAGAATGGCTACTATAGAGAAGCCAATCTGCACTCCCACAGTGGTGGGAATGCAGACTGGTGAAACCATTGTGGTATCAGTTTGAAGATTCCTCAGCAAACTAGGTCTAGAGGTCCCATTCAACCCAGCTATCCCCCTCCTGGGTATTTTCCCAGAAGAACTGAAAACATCATATCACAGCGATATATGTGCACCCATGTTCATAGCACCACAGTGTGTGATAGCTAAATCATGGAAGCAACCCAAATGTCCATCCATTGACAAATGGATAAAAAAAACTGTGATATTTTTATATAATGGAATATCATTCAGCTATAAAAAAAGATAAACTTGAGGCTTTTATAGGTAAATGGCCACAACTAGAAACCATAGTCATAACTGAAATAAATCAGACCTGCATGTATAAGCAATGTATTGTCTCACTAGTGTAAGAACCTGAAAGATTGAATAAAAATTAGGAGGTATGATAGGCATTGTGAAATGAAAGGAAACTGCTCAAAAGTAAAGAACAACTGGGATAAGGGAAAAGAGAAAAGAAAGAAGGGGGAAATTATGTTTACATGTATATACAGGATAGCTAACATAATTGTACTACTGACTTCTATCACTTTATTGAAAGGAATAGTTAATAATTAATTATTTGATCAATCTTGCATGTCTATATTTGTTTTCCTGAGTAACCACTTTGAAGAAATCAATATGTAATACAACAACTATTGTTAATTTCCTATCACCTTGTCTGTATTTCAGTATTGCTTGCATTGTTCTTGTGCTATTTTGTAAATGGATGTCTGTTTGTTAATATGTTTTTGTTCTTTTATTTTTAAAATAAAATTTTTTTAAAAAAGGGAAAAGCCAAGAGAAGACAAATGTTGGTGAGTATATGGAGAAAAAGGAACTCTTATGCAAAATGAGAATGTGAGTTACTACAGCCATTATACAGAACAATATGGTGGTCCCTTTAAAAACTAAAAGGACCATTATATGAGATGGTTCCTTTAAAACCTACAACTAGAACCACTGCATGAGCCACAGGACATGAAATCATGGTGTTGAGGAGACACCTGCCCCCCCCATGTCCACTACACCATTATCCACAAAAGCCACTAAACAAAAACAACGTAAGTGTCCATCAACTATGAATGGATAAAGAAAGCGTGGCACGTAGCCACAAATGGGGTACTACTCAGCCATTTGAAAGGAAAAAATTCTGTTGTGTCCAACAACATGGATGGAACTGGAGGTTAGGTGAAATTAAAAAGGGACAGAAAGACAAATACCGCATGACCACGCTCACGGGGAAGATCTGAAAGAGTTGATCTAGGAATTTGAGAGACTAGCAGTTATCACAGGTTGGAGAAAATAGAAAAGAATGATGGAGAAAGATTGATCAGTGTCTACTCAACCACTTCATAGGTGAATTAGTTTCTCCTGCACAGTAGTGAGTATAAATAATGGGAGAATGATACCTTTCATGAATGCTTCTTTTTACAAACAATTCAGTTCATTAATCGATGCATTCAGCAAAATTTTGCTTCTGTTGGTGTGGGACTCAGCCCTGGGGGGCGGGGGGGAATATATATATATATATATAAAGCACCTTGCATCTCAGCTGTAGCTGTAGCCTGTCCTGAAGGGTCAGCTAGGGACTCTGAAGAAGGAACATGGAGTGACTTCAAGACAGGCCCTGCTCTTGCAGTTGCAGGATGTGGGTGTGTTTCCTTTGCTGTTCCCAGTGTTATCAGCTCAACTAGAACATGTACCTTTCTTAAACTATCTTTAGGACTCCTCAAGGGATGCTTTTGTTCTCATTGATTATATAAGACAGCACATCCCTAAAATAAAGATTGGTTATCAGCCCCCTCCTAATGCGTCACGAGTCTTCTTTCATCGGAGATCAGCCTCGATATCGATTGGGGAACTACAGATGGCGAATTCCACATCTGATGAGAAACACAACAGCCGCCATTTTCCCCACACAAACACGAAGATGGCCATCTTCCCCAGAATCATGGCATGGATTAAATTCATAACCAAGGTACCACTGTAATATACTTTATATTTCAGAAAAGCTGGAAAAGATTCAGCATGTTTTCACCACAAAATAATGATAAAATGTTTAAGAAGCTAGATATGTTTACCCTGTCTTGAACGCCATACAATTCATACATGTAGCAAAACATCACGTAGGGCCCCACAGGGATGAAAAAATTTTTGTCTCAAGTTAAAAACATTTTTGAAAAAATAAATACTTAAAAAAGAAAAAAGAACTCTTCAAAAGCCAGGCTGTTTTAGGAAAAAGTATTAAAATTGTGCCCTGAAAGATAAAATCCAATGATGTAACTAACTTTGTACTTTCTCTGAGTGCTTATAAAGTATCACCCTAGGAAAAAAGAACATCCTTGTAAGCCACTTGTGCAGAGAATTGTTACCCTCTCCTAACAAGTGGAATAATTTTACTGCTTACAATTCCTCCAGAGTTTTCTACTCTGATCCAGCATGGTAGCTCCTGTGCCTTTGGCTCAAATGTCTGAGGACCTGGGACTTTAATGATCTTAGGGTTCTTTCTGTCTTCACATGAACCAAGATAACCAGGGTTGTAGTGGAAAT